TTGAACTCAGGCCCTTGCACCCCAGCCCCTGGAGATCCTTTTTGGTGGTGCTAGGGATTGAACCCCAGGGCCTTCAGCCTAAAGTTCATCCTTGATACTTTGTTGTTGTTTTGAGACAGGGTTTTGGCTTATAGTTCTGAGGGTAGCCTGAATTCACTGTAGCTCAGGTTGATCTAAAACTTGGAAACTCTGCTGTCCTATTTTGGCTTGCTTCCCCAGGAGAGGTTAGAGTGTACCACCATGCTGGGCCCAGCCATCTTTTATGTTTTAGATGGTAGTTTAATTGTACTACCCAGGAGGGTCCTTAGCTAGAGGGCTCTCCTGTGTAGCTAGGACTGCGAATGTGTGCTGGCAGAGATTGCTTGGGGGAGGGGCGCTGCTGGGAGTGTTCCACACTGAGCACTATACTTACAGCCCAAAGATACCATTTCTGGATAGTCATGCTCTAATGTACACTGATGTGATCTATAGTCCTAGCCCTAAAGTGTGTGTGCTTAAGAGGGACTCTGCAATTCAGGCTGGCCTCTTAACCTCCTGCCTCAGCCTTCCAAGTGCTGGGATTACAAGGGTGCGTCACCACACCCAGCTCCAAAGTTTTTGAGAAGGTCTCAAGGCCCAAGCCGGCCTAGAATTTGATCCTTGCTCAGGTCACTGGTGGTCTGTGCCACACCTAACAAGGTCACTTTCTATCTCACGAATGAAACTTCTTGGGAGCTGTTGATGAAAATGAATAGGAACTGTAGTCTTTGGTGAGTCACCAAGCTACGGGCCAGCTTGGCCTTGAACATATGGGTCTGCTGTCCCAGCTGCTACTTGGGGCACGTCGCTGCAAATACCCAGATGTGTTCCATCTAGGTCTCTGCTGCTCAGGTGAACTCTTCCTGGTTGGAGAATGGGGTCCCATGTAGTTTGGGTTCAACCAGGTGGTCCTTTTGCCTCAGCCTCCCAAGTGATAGGATTTTAGGTGTGTACCACCATGCCCAGCTCATTTTAACTAGGTTCTCCATTACATAGCTCAGACTGGCCTTGAACTCGCTATGGACCCCTGACTGACAAAGTTTGTATGATCTTCCCTGTCTCAGCCTCCCAAGTACCTCGATTATCAGCCTGTGCCACCCATCCTGGCAGTTTCAGCATCCTGTTGTGTTGTCTTTGGCTGTCCTCAGTCAGGCTCAAGTGCGCTTCCCTCTGGCTGCAGCACATAAGCTTAGTCATCCACCCCTTCCATGCTCAGTTTACCCATTTTTTATTCTTCCTTTAATCTGACATAAATTTTGCTCATTTGAATTGCTTATCTCTTTGACTTTCCTGACAGCAGGGAAACAGGGTATTTACTTTTTGGCCATGTTTCTAGCAGCTAGGAAGTTGAATAATAGTATTCTGAGATGGGACAGGATCCTAGTCAATATGTCCTGGTTCATTTCCTGCCATCCTGTGGTGCTGGGATTATAGGCTCATGCCACAGGGCAAGTGCAAAATGCAGTTGGATCCTTAGCTGTGGTAAGTTGCAGGTTTCTGTAAATGGGTGGTTGGCAGGTAGATTAGGATGTAATTTTTTATAGAATACAGAGGGTTTTTTGTTTGTTTTTTTGGTGGAACTGGGTATTGAACTCAGGCCCTTTTGTGTTTGCCAGGCAAGCACTTATTTTACTGAGCTATCTCCCTGGTCCCCAGAATACAAAAACATTCAAGACAGGTCTTGTGCAGTTCAGACTGGCCTTGAGCTCACTGTAGACAAAACTAGTGTCTTACAATGAACCTCCTGCCTCAGTCTTCTGAGTGAGTGCTAGGATTAAAGGGTTGTGCTACCGCACCCAGGTCAAGGACTGCTGTTTTGTTTTGTTTGCTTTTGCAGAACTGGAGGTTGAACTCAGGCCTTTGCACTTGCCAGGGAAGCGCTTATTCTACTGAGCCATCTCACCAGCCCTAAGGACTGCTCTTAATAAAAACAAAACCTTTTGTCTTAAGTGACCCTAAAACCATTCAGTGACTCCAGAGTACTCTCAGACCCGTGTAGTGTTAGCTAAGTGTTACTGAGAGAGAGCTCTCTCCAGCAGAGGATTGAACCCACTGGGGAGAAGAGCAAGCTCCACAGCGGAGCCATACATTCCCTGGTCTGGTCTTGTCTGGATTGTTTAGAGACAGTGTTCAGCTTAGGCTGGCCTTGAACTCTACAGTGATCCTCCTGACTCAAGTCTTCTGAGTAGTAGGATTCTAGTTGGAGCTCTAATTAGAAGCCAGCTTTAGTCTCAGTGTATTGGAGAACTACACCTAGTTCTCTTCTACCTCTAATGGGTTGGTAAGATCAGTAGGTTCTCTGGAAGTTGTATATTTTGTTTGTTTTGTGGCCAGCTCATTTTGCCCTTGGGGACAGGGCTAGCATGGCATGTGGTGCCAGGGGTTGAACCACAGTCCCTGGCCTTACCTATGCAGGTGCTTTAGACCACTGAGCTATCTCAGCCTCTGGAGTTTTGCGTCTGTTGGCCTTCCCAGATAATCTCACTGACAGTAAGGCTATCTCCCCTGTGAAACCTGGAAAAAGTTTTCTTGTCTTTTGTGTGAATGGTCCTCATTGTGAGGTGCTTCCTGTCTCTATGACAGATTTGGAAACAGGCTTCCAAATGAATATCTAAGGTGGATAGATAAAGCATTTGTCCAAAAATATTTTGTATCTGGTTTGGTGGCACACCCCTCTAATCCCAGTGCATAGGAGACCATGAATTCAAAGGCAGCCTGAACTATGGTACACAGTGAGACCCTGTCAAAAAAAACCACCAAGAATGTTCCATGTCCTGTAGCCATGCAGATGAAAAAAAGCAAAGCCAGAATTAGTACTTCCAAGCTGGGCACTGTAACACATGAATGTGATCCCAGCATTCTGAGAGGCTGAAGCAGGATTACAGGTTCAGGCCCATGGCATTCCAGCACTCAGAAGGCTGAGGCAGGAAAATGATGCTCAACCCCCAGCCTGAGGCTACAAGATAACCTGTTGCAAAAAAAAAAAAACCTTTTATTAATTATAGCCTTGCTCTCAGTGGCGCTGGGGGCTGAGCCCAGGGCATTTGTAGGAGCCGCATCTCCGACCTGGCTCAGCCCTTTTCGGCATCCTGGCTTTCCGGGCTCTCCCTAACGCTAAAGACCCCTGGGAAAAGAGGCTCTCGGCTGGCTGGTGGCTGGGCCTAGGACTACAGGCAGGGTGGCCGTGTCAGGGCTCCAGGGCTTCCTCCGCCGACTCTGCTTCCTCCTCCTCGATGCGCCCCGCCGGCTCTACCAAGTCGCCGCCGTCCTCCGCTCGGAAGCGCAGCACATGCGGCGTGCGTGGGGCGCCCCGCGCGCGGCCAAAGTTGCGCAGGCTGATGGCGGGGGACGGCGCACTCGCGCCCAGGAGGCGGCCGAGTAGCGGGGTCTGTGAGGGGGGTCGGGCCGACGCCGGGGACGCCTCCACCTGTGTGCTCTGCTCCGGGTCGTCGCTCATGCTGCGGGCAGGGGTGGCACAGGATGGGTTGTGCGGGCGGCCGAGGACAGGCGGCCCTGCACAGTCCCTGTGCCCCAGAGGGTGGCCGCTCACCGCAGGTTGAAGGTGGAGCCCAGGAAGGAGGGTCGCAGTGAGTCCGCAGCCGTGGCCACGGTGTATGGCGGCTGCGGCTGGGCCTCATCCCAGTACGGGTCCTTCTCAGCGGGGGGCAGGTTCTGGTACATGTCATCCACGGCCAGCAGGGATACCTGGGCCGGCAGACCACAGGTCACAGGAACCTGCATCTCCTTCCCACCTAGGCCGAGCCGCCCGCAGGGAGCTATGCTGCCCGCCAACCCCGCTTCACCTGCAGGTTTCGGTCTATGAGCTGATTGGTCTCAAAGTCATCATCGTCCTCACCAAACGGGTTTATGATCTGTTCGGCCACCTGGGGGTGCACACAGTGCCCCCAGTGTTGGAGAGGCTCTTGTGCCCACGTTTGGACAGAGCAGGGTGACACAACCCTTGGAAGCGCGCACCTTGAGCCAACCAGCATAGAAGAAGAACTGCAGCAGCGTCGTGAGAGGCACATACATGTCGGGGTCTCCTGGGACTGCCGCAGGCTCCTGGCTTGGTGGCAGAGGATCCTGGGGCTTGGCGGCCCCTGCCTCTGGCTCCACAAACTGGCGCCCAACCAGGGAGAGGGCAAAGAAAGAGTACACTGCGATGGTCACCACCTGAAAAGGGAGAGTCAGGCCCAGAGGAAGGCACAGTCTTGGCCAAGAGAAGTGTGCCCTGCCTCCAGGCCCTGGGAGGATGTGATGAGTGATTAAATATGGGACAGGGTTTTGGGGGTGGGGTGGAAGGCAGCTTTGAGAATGAGCCCTCGGCTCTTCAGGAGACTACAGTGACAACCAGCAGGGCCATCTAGTTCTCAGGACCTCACAGGACACAGGGCTTACAGTGGGCACTGGGCAGGGGAAAGAGGCAGTTACTTGGGTGTAGACGAGCGGGATGCTGATCCAGTCATAGTGGAACAGCATGCTGCACTTGGCACGGTACTTGTTCAGCTCCTGGGGACACAGCAGTGAGAGGAGGTCAGTGGAGGGAGGGGGATAGGCAGCACCCAGGGTACAGACATGCATGGCCCTGGGGCTCCACGGCCGTCTTGACATGTTGGGTGTCTACAATGAGGAGTGATTTAGTGAAGTTGCTGCATGCACAAAGCCTAAAGCTAGAATAACTGAGTGTGAATCCCAGCTGTGTTAATTAATTGTGTGACTTGGGCTTTTCTACTTTATGCCTCAATTTCCACATCTGTGAAAAGGGATGATAAAAATCATGTGCTCTCAAAGGCTATGAGGGCTAAGTGAGTTAAAACATTCTGCGCGGGGCTGGGGAGATAGCTCAGCCAAATAAATGTTTGCCTAGCAAGCTCAAGGGCCTGAGTTCAATCCCTGGTTCGGCAAAAAACAAACAAGCAAAAAAACACAAAACATACCATTGTGTGTGCTTCAAAACGTTCATAGCACACAGTGGCACCACTCATGTGAGATTCCAAAATTATTCGTTTGCAAACCTACAGGGCTAATGGCCTGGCCCGAGGATGACTCACTTCCAGAAGGAGACAGAGCGCAATGTCGTCCCGAATGCGTCCATCCCTACGGGCCTGGGCAGCCAGGTTGGTGAACCAGACGCAGGGGACCCAGTACTTGTTGAAATCGGATTTCAGACTCTCAAACTTTTTTCTCTCTTCCTGGGACATGAAACCTGTGGGGGTGAAGTCGGTGGGGTACGGAGGCATTCTCAGCCTCTCAAGAAATCAGGTGGTCCACAGTTGGCTGGGCACCGTCCTCTTGCCCGCCCGCTGCGTCCCTACCGCGCCCCCTGGAGGCCAGTTGCTGCCCACGCACCTGCATCCGCCACGTGGCCGAGGGTTGGGAAGCGCTTGAGCACGCGCGTGCTCACGGAGCGCAGCACCAGCACAGACGCCAGGTTGGCGTAGCGCATGAGGGTGCGGCGCAGAAGGCGGCCGCGCTGGTCCGTGCCGTGCACGCTGGCCGAGATGACGCACATCAGCTGGTCTGGCAGTGGGATACTAGTGTATTGGGACCACCAGCGGTTCACCACCAGAGACACGTAGAAACCTGGCAGGCTCCGTGGGACGGGCCGGAAGGGAGCACGAACTCAGCAGGCCCTGAGCTTCCCTCCTCCCACAGACAGCCTGCTGCAGGCCCTGAGCCAAGAAGGGCCCCCTGGGTGAACCAGCCATACACAGCTCCCAGCCTCTTCCTCTGCCACCCTGCTGGGCCAAGCTGGCCGTGAAGAAGGGAGAATGCCAACTTCCTGGGACGTTAGCTCAGGGGGTCTGGCTCCCCTAGATGGCAGGGGGGGTCTGTCACCTCTCTGGCTCCTTGCCAGGGTGTTCTAGTAAAGCCAGTGGGCATCTTAGCCAGGCCCAGTGAAGTCCCATGAATGACAGGATATATGCCTGGGGGAGCCTTGGACCCAGTTCCCAGCTCCTGTTCTTGTTGGTGGACTAGGCTGTGCGGCCTGGGCTGTGAATTCAACCCTGAGGTCAGGGCAGATGCCTGGGAGAACTAGCAGGGGCCTCACCCAGTACGAAAGACAGAGGGATGAGGTCCGCAGAGCGGTTGCAGTACCGGGCCACCTGGGCATAGACGAGCTTCTGCGCCTGGCTCAGCAGCAGCCTGGGAAGAGCAGTGCAGGCCTGGCTTGTTGTGGAGGTGGACAGTGCAGGACCCACGGACCAGCCCTGAGATCTGCCTCACCGGTAGGTGATGCTGAGCGCAGCGTAGAGGGCGACAAAGAGCAGAAACTCCTTGTACAGGAGCTTGTAGATGCTTCCCCTCCACCGGAGCAGCAGGCCAGAGAAGCCTCCGAAGCGTGCCTCAGCCACTTTGAGGGTGTATGAAACCGTCATGGTGCTGGGCCTGGGGTGGGAGGTCGCAGAGCCGTCCTGCTCTGTGCTTGCCTTCCCATCACTAAGCTCGGTTCCTGGCACCCTCCCTGCACCTCTGGTCACACCCTCAGCCTTCAGCTCTGGTCAGGGAACCCAAGGTCATCAGCTCCATCCCTGCAGACCTGCAGTATAGGCTGAAGCCAACATACAGCCAGGCACAGCAGGCCAAGCTCTGCCTCCTGCACACAGCTTTCCCAGGCCCTCTTCCACCTGCAGCGCTGTCGAAAACAGACCCTGGTCTGCAGAGGACAAGAGCCCTGACACCAGCCCAGTACCAGCACTTTTCTTTGCTCTGAAGCTGACTCTCTGATCCCCCAAGACCCAGGGCCTTCTCATCCCCATCCCCTTGCCTGCCTACCTGCTGTGAGTAGCAGCCTGTGCTAAGGAAGAGTAGGGCGCACCTTCACCCTTTGAAGATTTAAGTACCTGAGGGTCCATAAAGTTAGGCTGGACACAGCTGTCATTGATGGATGAGGCTGTCATCAAGCTTCCCCTGGTCCTGAGAACTGGGTGTGTCTCTCCACCCTTGCAGGGCTGGGCTCGCCCAAACTGTCATTTGTACTGACCCCATAGCTCCACAAGTAATGCCTTCAAGCCAGGATGATGGATGACAGTCCCATGCTCCGGGCAAGGAGATACATGAATACAAAGTGTCACTGTTGTACCAGCTTGCTGATCACAACACAGGGCACAGGCACTGTGCCAGGGGTGCTACCATATCATCCTGGCATGAAAGCCTCTGTGCAACACTATGTGGAAGGAACTACTGCCACCATGAAGATTGGGCTCCAGAAGGGTAATAGCTTGGCCACCTTCACACAATTAGGACAAGTTGGAGGCAGGAGCCAGACCTGGCGGACTTCAGGTGCAAGAAGTAGACCACGTGGCCAGGCTCTTCCTCATCCCCATGCTACAGGGCTGACAAAGCCTCAAGTCTAGGAACTCAGTCACACAAGTACAAAAAGTCCTGTACATAAAAGAATCTTTTTTTTTTTTTTTTTCTGTATTTGGTACAGGGTCTCACCACTCAGCTTGGACTCATAGTGAACCTCCTTATTTTCAGCCTCCCCAGTGCTGGGAGTACAGGCATGCACCACCACCCCCGGCATCGTGGCCGGCTTGCCCAAGGGTGGAGCCGGCATAGCATGTGGTGCTGGAGATCGAACCCTCAGCCCTGTGCTTGCCTAGGCAGGTGCTTGGTCGCTGAATTATCTAAGCAGCCCATGCATAAAAACTTTTGAGTCTCATATGTCCTCAAGAATCTTTTGGGGGCTGGGGAGATAGCTCAGTAGAATAAGTGCTTGCCTGGCAAGCACAAGGGCCTGAGTTCAATCCCCAGTTCTGCAAAAAGCAACAACAAAAAAACCAAAAGAAAAATCTTTTTTGGGGGGCTTGGGGAGCTAGCTCAGTGGAATAAGTGCTTTCCTGGCAAGCGCAAGGGCCTGAGTTCAATCCCTGGTTCTGCCACTTTTTTTTTTTTTTTTTTTTTTTGGTACCAGGGATCAAACTTGCTACCTTACACATACCAGTCAGACGCTTATGCCACTGAGCTGTCTCCCAGCCCCACAGGATCTTTAGTTGGCTCTTTTTTTTTTCTCAACCCTTCCCCACATTTCTGGAACTAGAGATTGAAACCAGGAAGTGCTGAGCTATGTCCCTAGACCTTCTTATTTTCCCCAGAACTTATTTACTTATTTAAAGTTTATTTTGATTCAATCCCCAGTACCTAAAAAAAAAAAAAAAAGTTTATTTTGAGACAGAGCCCTGCTAAGTTGCCCAGGGTGGCTTCAAATTGTCTCAATCCTCCTGCCTCAGTCTCCTAAGTAGCTGGAATTACAGGGATGGGCCATCATACCTAGCTCTCATCTTCCATTTCTTTATCAGCTCAAACTGAAAAACAAAAAAAGAAAGAAAAACCTAAGACACTGATCAAATTAGAAATAGCTGTGAGTTCCCAGCTTGGACTACAAAGTGAGCTCAAGGCCAGCCTGAATTGCATAGCAAGACCCTGTCACAAAAAGACAAAAAATTAGGAATAGAACTTTTTTTTTTTCTTTCTTTCTTTTTTTTTTTTTCTTTTTCTTTTCTTTTTGAGACAGGGTTTCATTATGCAGTTCAGGCTGGCCTTGAGCTCACTTTGTAGCCAGGCTGGCCTTGAACTCGCTATGATCCTCTTGCCTCAGCCTCCCCAGTTCTGGGATTACTGGTGTATGCCATGGTGCCCTAGGTCATTTCTAACTGCTCCTTCAAGATTCAGCTCAGGAGCTGGGCATAGTGCATCCCTGTAATCTCAGGACACAGGAAGTTGAGGCAAGAGGATTGCTACGAGTCCAAGGATAGCCTGAACTAAATAGTGAGACCCTGTCTCAAAATAGAAAAGATCCAGCTCAGGCCACGTTATTCTCTATGCCAGTGCTGCCTACAACTCGACAAGCTCCAGTACAGGAAGGGTGTCAGTGAGGAGGATTTTCTGTTCCATGGTTTACTCAACTAGGCTGCCTGCAAACTGACTGGGTAAAGCTCCAGGAAGCAGCAGGCTGCAAAAGCTTCTCCTCAAAAACCCCATGCTGGAGAAGGGAGGAGGGTGAAGAAGCCTCACCATTAGAGGCCTGGTAATGTATGCACCATGCAGTAACACATTACCAGAAGTCCTTGGGTATAGCCATAGATACAGAAGCATAGATTTCTGCTGATGGAGACTGCTACTTTTTTTTTTGTTGGTGGTGGTGGTGGGTTTTTTTGCAGTACCAGGGATTGAACTCAGAACCTTGTGCTTGCCAGGCAAGTGCCTATTCTACTGAGCTAACTCCCTGGCCCTGGAGACCACTACAGAGCAGCTATGAGCAGGACTTAAATTAACCAGTTGGGGGAGGGGGGAATTGATCAGTTGGTGCTGGGAAGATGGCTCAGTGGAATAAGCGCTTCCCTGGCAAGCACAAGAACCTGAGTTCAATCCCTGGTTCTGAAAAAAAAAA